TTCTTCTTCTTCTTCTTCTTCTTCTTCTTCTTCTTCTTCTTCTTCTTCTTCTTTTTCTGATCACTGTCTCCTGTTCTAAGTACAACATGTTTTATCACAATAAAGATATTGATGACAGTTTTTGGGACTATGAACATTTTCCTCGAGATTAGAAGCCATTGAAAGATACAACGACCACATAGGTAGCCTCTTGTCGTATGATATCTCTCGGAAACAATATTTGACAGGATAGTGGCGTTTCTAATCGTGAATTTTGTCGCAGTGTTAGTGGGGGGGGGCGTGTTGTCCTGTATTCCACAGTACATGAATCTCTTTCTTACATCGTTGGTGTTTAATACGATCAAATTCATCTGCGACTGATCAGTTAAGATGTCGAAAAGTCTGATAAATTGAACCTCACCAGCGCTTAGTTTCCTTCTTGTGAACACAATAATAACAACGAGGCGTGGGCATTTACCATCTACTAGATGCTAATTAATCATATCGAAGGTGGGCACACAATTTCATGGTTTATTTGATTGCTTTGTTTTACTTTATGCTATATTAATCATTCAGTTGTTGTTGTTTTTTATTATTAAGATTTAATTTCAAGGAGGTTCAGAGGCTTGACAAATCCTAAATAATAGGATGAATTGTTTCATAATGTTGGGTGGGTTTTTTTTTTTGGTGTTATTGAATGACGACTAAGTCCCGTAATAAGTGACGGCATGTAAATGCGCATATTTACTACTTTGTGTTGTTGACTTTTGTCTCTTCACCTGTCGAAATATCGAGGCGTACTCATAGATACCTAGAACTCAATTTTTACCATTTTGGACTAGGGCACAGTCTTGTTCGAAAGTCTTCAATTACTGTTGTCTTCATATTATTTTTCTCCTACAGGTGACTATTTTCGGGCAGACCCAGTGCATATCTGGCTTCATGGGCTTGGATGTTCCCGCTCCTGCCGGACCCCTGTGGATCATGGGCGATATCTTCATTGGCAGTTTTTACACTATCTTCGACATGGAGAAAAACAGAGTCGGATTTGCTGAGGCTAGAAGGCCCAATTAAATGCGTTTTAAAGAGAGGCAAAAATTTCAGAATGCTGTTTTTGTAACTGTACATCGTATATATCATCAGTCCACAGACATAAGCATGAATAAATAATTTATTTAGATTAGCCGTATTTGATCCTTTCTGTAAACTTCTCGTGAACACTTTGTTACAATAAAATCACAGTTCATTTCAATAATTTGGAGTGCTTGCAATAGGTACTATCTAACCTTCTTCTCTCTTTGCCTTCCCCTATTAGTTCTCAGGGATTGTTGAAAGTTGATTATTCAATTTGCAGTGTAACTGATTTGTTTATCTTCAGGCAGCCACATCCCAATTTCGAAGGTACTAACTAGAGTATTTTCAGTTTTGGTAGGAATTGATAAATAATTTTTCCAAGGTGACGGCCGAAGCCTACTCTTATCGATTTTCGACCAACCAAGGGATCCTTAAAGTGCGCTACTTGCACACGGAACTTCCTAGATTTTTTCGCCCTTGTCCGAGAAGGCTAGGTGCTCGATCTTACCTACCCATAGATCAGGGGTGTGGCTGAAAGCCAGCAGTAAAAAGAAGCCAGGAGTAGCAGTAGAAACAGTCAGGATTAAAGGAGAGAGGAACCCAAGTGAGGCCGAGAGAAGTGGACACGAAATTTCATGACTGAACAAAAATAAGAGTATAGACAAGGATGTCAAAGGAGACAATTTCAGAGAAGAACAATTTTCGTTGCTGTCTGGCTTAACCCGAGACCTTTTGAAACCCCGGCGCACACCGTATCTTTTGACCACGAGAGCCCCTTACGAGCTCACCGAATCTGAACTGACCTCTCAGGAAACAATCAGAAGCAAAATATAGTTTAGTTTTTATTAGACTCGTTTTCCTGAATAGTCAACGTCTGATCTGTAATTTTATCCGAGGTACAGAGGCTGAATAAATTCCACCGCCACTTTTAAAATAATGAAATTATTTCCTATTATGGTGTGTCTTGTTTAATTGAATAATGGCCTAATCTTGTTTAGAAATAAAGTACGTAGCATGTGTATATTTTCTGCATTGCATTGTTGATTTTTATTTTATCCTAGCTCTGTCTCGACCCGCCCCGCCTCCTCCCACCTCTGGTCACACTTACATACACACATACACACATACACACACGCACACACGCGCACACACACACACACACACACACACACACACACACACATGCTTGCGAACGCGTATACAGTGAGGCACAAAAGAACATAAAATGTGTAAAAATACTATAGGGTTTGTAGAAAGTATATTAAAATGTGATTTATTATTTCAATAAAGCTTTGGTTATTCTTGGACCAAAAGAAAGAGCGGAATGGATATTATTTAAAACAGGCTGAACACCAATGACAAAATGAGCTATTATACTGTCAT